GGGATTGAGGAGACGCGGAGGCCACATTAAGCCCATCTGTAGAAAGTGCTCTGACTTTCTACTGAGAGGTCAACCTGGTAAACGTGGCTGCGGAACCGCAATCCATTCTCATTTCTTTTTTCTCTGAACGGCTCGTAAGTAAGAGGTTGAAGCCATATTAGTAGTAGTTAAACATTATGTACATTTGGATACAATCGATGCGAGCAGAGAAAAAAAAGCTCATAGATCTAGCTCTACAAACATGTTAATACACATTCAAGCGATCAAGATCGCGTGCTAAAGCGAGCTCTAGCTCCTTCCCAATATCAGAGATTCTTTCAATCACAAATACTGAGGTCCATAGTGCAGAGGCAGTGATTCAGCGTACAGTCGGAACCATCGGGTTTGCGAAACTTGCGCGGTGTAATTTTGCAAACAAAGTGGGGAAGATTTTTTGACTTGTTTTTGTTTGTTAACTGCTGTTTCTGCAGTTCGCCTCGCAAATGTTTCACAAGAATGCTGAGTTCTCAACAAAAGTTTTGTTAACCCAGCATTCTTGTGGTGGGGAAGCTTTTGGTCAACCACAGAATCATTTAGCGGTTGTGTCATTCCTTATTTCATGATTGGAGCCTTTTATCACCACTTCTTATCGTGAGTTAAGGGTAGTTTACTACCGTCCTGGGTGACTTTCATAATTCGCTGCATCCATAAGCCAATCCGCTTGATTTTGAGCGATGGCTTTTGCATCGATGAGGCAAGATTCGCTCGGATGCCCAGTTCAGTTTGAAGCAGAGAATTTGACTGCACTTTTAACTTCATATGACTCGTTGCACCCATTCAGCATGAGTGCCACCGGAGTGACCGTTCGAATGCCTTAATGACAGACTCTTCCTCATCCTCCTTCTTCCCTTAACGGGCACTCTTAGACAAAAGATTCGGCCATTCTTCAACGTGGTTCGTGTTGTTTGCGATGCTGCATATAATTTGTGCTTCACCTCTCAAAATTCGAATTTGTTCCATGTAGGCTGTTACGAATATGAAAGAGAAAATAATAGAAAAAAAACGCTCAAAAACCA